TACTCCTACCGTACTCCCCACAGTATACTATACAGTGGTCACGTGAAATTGAGATGAACTAATGAATGTAGCATGGGTCGTACTCCCGATCGGACAGCTCTGCTCTGTCCTCAGTAAAGGGACCCATAGCCTATCGCCGTTAAGCGTAGAATGATCAAATGGTATGAAATTGCAGTTAAAATGGAGTTCCTGCACTCGTCCTTACCGTATTTTTTGAACAGTAACTAATGATAATGAACTAACCCATGTGGCACCCCATGCAGAATAAAATATAAATTGGCTGGACTCCAGAACTCGCCCTGATCATCGTATATCACCTACTATCCTACGAAGAGTTGCTCCGTGGAGGAAACACCTCCCCCTACCCCTTCAATCCCACCACCCAACCCCATGCTGACACTGGACCTCAGGAAACAAACCTAGAGATATAACTTCCTAGATTTGAAATTCCCCAGGAGACTTCCTCAAAAATACAGACGCGCACCGAGGTCAATCTGTTCCCCAAAAGTAAAGGTCTCTCCCCAAAGAAACACACCTCTAGAAGAATATTCCTGGTTTCCAGTTAATCGAAACGTTGAAAATGTGAAAATATCTCTAAACTATCAGTATAGGCTTTAGATATTTGGCTAGTTTTTCTTTTTTCGATTACTTTTAAACAGCAAAACTCACAAGGTCCAAATTCGGCACATAAGTAGCCGCTTCTTTACAGTCGGATACGGCCAAATCCGAGCAATCCACATGAACGTAGTACTCGCAGACTTAAATGGTACCAAATATTAAATGGTAAAAAATATTGCTCTTTGAAAGATATCCTATGACATATTTTTGCTATATCAGAACGCAATCAATGGGAAAAAATGGTCTCATCTAAATCAAAGACCTAAATTTATCCCTAACGTGGTACTTGCCAAAAATTATTATTCTAGTCCCATAATTTTAGGAAATACAATCTCTACAGAACATTTGCCATACACTTGGCTCTTCTATTTGAAACCCCCTCCTCCAAAAGGCCAAATGACTCTTTGACAAAGATTCGGAGTACTTGTTTGCCCCTCTCCACACTCTAGCCGCTACAAAGTGCAAATCTGAAAAGCTGGACACCGATTCTGGGGTCTGATGTCGTCTCCCCGAACGGCAGTCGCCGTGGGACCACTACCGCTGACCGTGGGAATTCGGGAAAAAGTTCCTCCACCCCTTATGGATCTGCCACGTCTCCAAACCAAATAATTCTGATTTGTGAGGGACAGAGGAATAATAAGTTCAAAAAAAGACTGCCCACGGCAAATATATGGGTAGAGGGATGTTCTGTAGTTGGTAACTGCTTCACACAGCATCCCATAAAAAACAGTCGTCAACTACGAGAGAACCTTTTCATGAGGGAAACGGTATGCCTACTGGAATTTATCAAAGTAGGCCTGACGAGCGTAGTCGGGCTGTATTGAACTGTTTGAACGGAGAGAAGCGATGGACGTTGAGAAGAATAGATCTACGATGTCAAAATGGAAAATGGGAAAGGAAAGGCGTAGGAAGGATCGGAGGCAAATTGGACCACCATTCAGATGATGCAAAGTTTCAGGCTTTACTCTCCATTCTTGGAGTAATATTTTTTATGCAGTAAATAGGAAATATCGGATCGGACAAACCCAAACTCGGTGATTGATTGGTGAAGAAAATTTTAAAAAAAGTTTTGTAAAAATTACCTTCACATTCCAGCGACAGTGCTTCATCCGTTCGTTTACGACACACACAGCAAAACTTCCGCTTGATTAAACCGGGCTGGGACCATGTGTGAGCAACCGGATTCTGTAATCAGCACGAGTGTTTAGGGTGAACCTACTCAAAATAAAGATTAAGGATAAAGTTTTTGATAGTAATCGATAACTTTTTGAGGATGCGCCCTTCATTCGACTTCCATTCAGAATCGTAGTGACGTTTTGAATGCGTCTGCTGCCTATACAAGGATCTGTGATGGTCAGAAAGTCGTTGCTCCAATCTTCCCAGACGAGTCTGGTACCAATCAACTGACCACGCAGGAATGGAAAGCTTACTTGGTTTGGGTTGGTATCGATCCCAGATTTAACCCCGGACCATGCTTAAGCGATAGTGCCCACTTGCCTATACACCGCATTTGTCCCCCAATCAGAATACAACTTCAAATGCAATTGAAGATGCAATTTAAATGTATACTAGGTGCTTTGATCTACTCCCAGCCTTTCGATTCTTGGCTAGTTGTCTCGATGCGTAACCTACCGTTCAAGGCCTCAACCGTCATGCTGTTACACAACCATATTAATGTATTTCCTACTATTTATGGCAGTCGACTCCAACAATTTAAATCATCAGTCAGAAAGTATTGTCAGGAGGCTATGAAATCAAGCCGTTTGTTTTTAGCAAAAGTTTTGGCAAGTGACAAAACTCTCCAAAAATTGGACCAAAATCTTGGGAACTTTGAGAAGGGCCAGCACATACGGGCTGGTAACATAAAAACGAAGTTCATTGCCATGAAAATCCCGAGTGGTACCACCGTTCAATCAAAAATCTGTCTTTTTCCTCTTATTTTTAGTTGTGCTTCAATAGAATTCAAATGTAAATTATAACGACAAGGAACAACGTCGGCTTTTGGGCCCAATTAGGCCGTTTCCTGGACGTCTTTCTTAGGGAGGACGTCATACACAGGCTGCTCTAATGGGTCTGATTCAGTACCATGTGGAAATGTGCAGATCTGAAGGAGAAGGAAATGTTGGGCATATAGACGGAGCCACTTAGTCCACTGCATCTTCCGCATCGATGGGTCCCTCGACTAAACATTCCACCAAAAACATCGTAGTAATCTTAGTGGTTCCGTTTATACGGTCATAGTAGCGACTGCCTTTGTGACCTGATGGGAACTGCTGTTTTACCCAGCAAGTGCCAGGACGTTCCCGCGAAAATTTGTCCCGATTCGTAAATCGTAAATTTCAACTATTATTTTTACTGAATAATGCCGAATTTCAATTATAACATTTGTAAATATTGCCATATCCGAGGTGGGGATAGGGGGAATAGGGCCGAGTGGCGCCTACCCCACGCATGGTTCGAGGACAAAATCCCGGATCAATATCCGCCGAGGCCAGCCAAGCTTTACATCCCCCCGAGGTCGCTTAATTGGCCTCAAAGTGGTCTGTAGGATAGATGCATCGGCTGGTCTCTTTAATTTATTGGACCAAAAAACTTGTATGGACCGAAAAACCCTCAAGAACTTCATTGCGATTTTGAGTGGGAGTGAATGTGTGGGCGCAACATAGACGGGATTTATGACTGCCATAAGCCTCACCCTTCAGACCCTATTCATGGCAATCATTAAAAATTATGAGGTCCGAAACGGTCAAATCCCTGGCGTATCCGTTCTTCATAAAGGAATTCTCAAGATCGCCTCAAAATCGCTGTAGGACCTACACGAGTGGCCGTAGTAACCCACCAATAAGTTCACCTCCGAGCTACGTCCTCGGAGGTGCAGCACTTCCCTGCTCCTAAGGGGTTTGGCGAGGGAACCTTACAAGGATGGGATCCCCATTGGCACTGCTCGAACGGCCCTTCTAAGGAATGGCTAATTTTTGATTTTGTGACGTTACTTAACTCCCAAATTTTATGTTCCCTGATCCCAGATACATTAGGGTGAGCCCACCGAATAAATGTTTTCTGCCACACGTCATCCCAAACGTCACGAAGTGCTTCGCCCTTTCTGCCCTTTTCCTGTCGGCCCGTCGGGCAAAGATTTAACGCGTCGTTAATCACAAGTACATAATGAAAGAATAACAGTAGCCATTTCCACAGGAAGTTAATCGAATGCCTTTGAAAAGGATTCATAAAGTAAGTAGTTTCACAAAAAAGAACACACATTTCCTTCGTCAGGACATTTCTGAACGGATTTTGTATAAATGGTGTCGTATCGTTGCTACACACACATAAATATTACGGTAAAGGATACTGTAAAGCTTGGGTCTCACCTTGATCAGTTGCAGAGCCACTCCACTGCAGTAGGAGACAACGGTTTTCAAACATTTCTCATGGCACACAAAATTACACACTGAAAAAGAAATCAATTATAGCAGCGTACAAGTAGTTAACTTACTGGTAATTGAGGTAGTAATCGCTCATCTCCAACGGCTCTTTATAAGACCTATTTTCGCACCAAAACGCAATAAATCACCACTCATTAACAGTAGGGATGTATAGTAAGCCCAAATCCTCCCACAGCTCAAAGCCATACCTGACTAGTTCTCATAGTAGGTTGTTACGTTCGCTGCCTTACCGCGTAGTAAACCACTCCCACCCTTGAGATTCTCAACCGCTACACTCATGGGTGCCTGTCATGCTCAAGGGAGACTATTACTTTAGCAGGTTAACTCTGGTGGATACCTGATAGTTCGCTAAATTTGCTACCGTTTCCATTTTAGTACGGGACATCCCCTTTTATTGAGGGATAAATACTCAGACTCAATTTTCATTTTAGTTTGCCAGGGTGAGCACCAGCACGACTTCCTTTTCCTTCAGTTTTCTCCAAATCATTCTCATTCCCCCAGCCTCTCTGCGCTGAGCTCCCAGACCTATCTGAACTCCGAAATTTGTGACCATGAATAAGGGAGGAGTTGGGGGGGGGGGGGGGGGGGG